TTCTCTCCCCCCCTTCCCCTCCTCTCCCCCCCCCTCTCCCCTTCCCTCCCGCCCCCTCTTTCCCCCCCCTCCCTTCCCCTCCTTTTCCCCCCCCTCCCCTCTTTCCCTCCCCCCCCCCCCCCCCCCCCCCCCTCCCCTCCCTCCCTCCCTTCCTTTCTTTTCTCCCCCTCTTTTTCCTTTTCCCCCTTTCTCCTCTCTCTCCCCCTCCCCCTCCCCCCCCCTTTTCCCCCCCTTCCCCCCTTTCTCCCCTTTCCCCCCCCCCCCCCTCCTCCCCTTCCCCCCCTTCCCCCCCTTTCCCCCTTTTTTCTCCCCTTTCCCCCCCCTTTCCCCTTCCCCCCCTTGCTCCCCCCCTTCCCCCCCTTCTCCCCCCCCCCCCCGTTCTCTCCCCCCCTTCCCCCCCTTGCTCTTCTCTCTTCTCCCCCACCGTTCTCCTCTTTCTCCACCGTTCCTCCCTTCCTCCCCCTTGCTCCTCTTTCCCCCCTTGCTCCTCCTCCCCTCTTCATTCTCCCCCTGCCCTTCTTTCTCTCGCTCCCTCTTCTTTCGCCCCCCCTCTTTCTCTCTCTCCCCCCCTCCCCTCCTCTTGCTCTCTCTCTCTCCCTCCTCTTGCTCTCTCTCTTCCCTCCTCTTGCTCTCTCTCTCCCCTCCTCTTGCTCTCTCTCTCTCCCTCCTCTTGCTCTCTCTCCCCCCCTCCCTCTTGCTCTCTCTCCCCCCCTCTTTTTCTCCTTCCCTCTTTCTCTCTCTCTCCCCTCCTCTTTCTCTCCCCCTCTTTCTCCCCCTCTTTCTCCCCCCTTTCTCCCCCCCCTTTCTCCCCCCCCCCTTTCTCTCTCCCCCCCTTTCTCTCCCCCCCTTTCTCTCTCCCCCCCTTTCTCTCCCCCCCCTTTCCTCCCTCCCTTTCTCTCCCTCCCTTTCTCTCCCTCCCCTTTCTCTCCCCCCCTTTCTCTCCCTCCCCCCCTCTTTCTCTCCCTCCCCCCTCTTTCTCTCCCTCCCCCCCTCTTTTTCTCTCCCCCCCCCTCTTTCTCTCTCTCCTCTCCCCCCCTTCTCTCTCTCCTCCCCCCCCCTCTTTCTCTCTCCCTCCCCCCTTTCTCTCTCCCCCCCCCCCTTTCTCTCTCTCCCCCCCCCTTTCTCCCCCTTCCCCCCTCTCTCCCCTCTTTCCCCCCCCCTTTCCCCCCTCTCTCCCCTCTTTCCCCCCCTTTCCCCCTCTCTCTCCCCTCTTTCCCCCCCTTTCCCCCCTCTCTCCCCTCTTTCCCCCCCTTTCCCCCTCTCTCCCCTCTTTCTCCCCCCCTCTCTCTCCCCTCTTTCCCCCCTTTCCCCCCTCTCTCCCCCCCTTCCCCCTCTCTCCCCTCTCTCTCCTCCCCCTTTCCCCCTCTCTCCCCTCTCTCTCCCCCCCCCCCCCCTCTCCCCCCTCTCTCCCCCCCCCTTTCCCCTCTCCTCTCCCCCCTTTCCCCTCTCTCTCCCCCCTTTCCCCTCTCTCTCCCCCTTTCCCCTCTCTCTCCCCCCTTACCCCTCTCTCTCCCCCCTTTCCCCCCTCTCCCCCCCTTTCTCCCCCTCTCTCTCCCCCCCTTTCTCCCCCTTCCCCCCTCTCTCTCCCCTCTTTCCCCCCCTTCCCCCCTCCTCTCTCCCTCTTTCCCCCCTTTCCCCCCTCTCTCCCCTCTTTCCCCCTTTCCCCCTCTCTCCCCTCTCCCCCCCTCTCTCCCCTCTCTCTCCCCCCTCTCTCCCCTCTCTCCCCCCTCTCTCTCCCCCTTTCCCCTCCCTCTCCCCCTTTTCCCCCTCTCTCTCCCCCTTTCCCCTCTCTCTCCCCCCTTCCTCTCCCCCCCTCCCTCTCTCCCCCCTTACCCTCTCTCTCCCCCCTTACCCCTCTCTCTCTCCCCCCTTTCCCCCCCCCCTCTCCCCTCTCTCTCCCCCCCTCTCTCCCCCCTCTCTCTCCCCCCCTTTCTCCCCCTCTCTCTCCCCCCCTTTCTCCCCCTCTCTCCCCCCCCCTTTCTCCCCTCTCTCTTTCTTCTTTCCCCCCCTCTCCTCTTTCCCCTTTCCCCCTCTCTCTTTCCCCTTTCCCCCTCTCTCTTTCCCCCCCCTTTCCCCCCTCTTCCCCCCCTCTCCTCCCCCCTCTTCCCCCCTCTCCTCCCCCCTCTCCTCCCCCCTCCTCCCTCCCCCCTCTCCTCCCCCCCTCCCCCTTCCCCCTTTATCTCCACCTTTCTTCCCCCTCCCTCACTTTCTCTCCTGCTCTCCCCCTTTCTCCTCTCCCCCTCCCCTTTCTCCCTCCCCTCCTCTTTCTCCCTCCCCTCCTCTTTCTCCCTCCCCTCCTCTTTCTCCCTCCCCTCCTCTTTCTCCCTCCCCTCCTCTTTCTCCCCCTCAAAAACTTGTTCACTATAGCTTTACATAAGACTGAGGACTATTAGCACCCTCTGCAGCAGAAGTTTAGAGGCAGGAAGAGAACTGGGCTTTCTTGCTCAGGCACTTTCTACAGGATCCAGCACAACGTGGAACATACTTCGTTACAAATAAGCTAAGTTGCTAAAACTATAGAGAAGATTTTAAGTTTTAAGCTTTAAAACTGCCATGAAATGCTTTATAAGTGAAAATTAAAAAAAAAAAACAAAAAAAAACGCAGCAGTAGGAGATTTTGAAAAGTTTGTAGCACATGTCTGAAAGGTATCTTTTTCTACCCCACCAGAGGAGATCGCGGTTTGAAAAAACAGCAAGAAAAGAAGCAGGTAATTGTCCTCTCTCCTTTATGTATGCTATAAATTTGGGTTAGGTGTGTGTGCACGCACACACAGTTCATTGAGTTCTTATTTTGCTAAGTCATTTCATTTTTAACTATTACTTTTAAGTATGAACAAGCATATTGTTTATTTGCAGTAGGAGTGCAGTTAAAGCGGAACTTTACCCATAACATTTTAATGAAAAATTGTTTTCTTTTGCAAAGAACAAACATTCCACGTTAATAATTATGCTACCAAAATGAGTGTGTACTGTAAATTTCCTCTAGCATTGTGCTGGAGGCTGCCATTTTGCTAAAGTCCAGGGCCCCTGAGCAGCAATAAATCTTTAGGCTGTCAGGAGATTGCCCTCTACATTTCTGGCACAGTGCTGAAAAAGAGAGCGACTGAGCATGTGCAGAGCAGGGTGAGAGTGTATTATTGTATTTTAAACAGTATAGGCACTTATTTTTAATGTTTTACATAGCTATATCTGCAAAGGGGGAACAGCCTGTAGTGATCTAGCAGGTCATAATTTTTTGACTAAAGTTCCACTTTAATAAGCCGTCAACGACACAGAAAAACTATCTTACAAACTTCCTGCACTGTCATGCTTTCCTACTAATGCAAGATCAAAGAAATTAAGCTTCCCTTTTGCATCATGGTAGCTGAACTTTTCTCATTTCAAACTTGTCCCGCTCTTGACATGCTGAGCAGGTGAAGTGTCCAGATAGGAGCACAAAAAAAAAAAAAAAAAAGAAACAGACACTGTAAAAATATTTTTTTTTTTTTTCCCCAGAAAAACAATAGGATTGGTGTGTGCACAGATTGTTGTCAGTTATAAATATTGCAATAATAGCTCTCCTTCAATTTCAATACAAGGAGATAACAATAGAGAGTTGATACAGAATGAAGACTTCACCAAACTAGATGCCTACTTCACCAAACTAGATGTTTCCTAGTTTTTTTGACTGCATGTGTAATTGTTTTACATAATCTGGTGAGTTTTAGGAGTAAACATCTACACACGCCCCTTATATAAAAGATAAAATACCCATAATGGCGTTTTTTGGAACTTCCACGTGTTTCTGTAAGAGGTCTGTTTTGGTATGTTCATGGTGTTTGCTTAAATCTAAGTGGTATGTCTGACAGAGCATAAAATACTTGGAGTTAATCTCAATATTCTTAGCCAGTGAAAACATTGTCACTTGCCTTTTGAGAAATAAACTGAATGGAAACATTGTAATCAAATGTTGATGCTTTTTGCAGCCTTGAAGGATATATATTTTATTTTTCACACACCACAAGAAGGCAAGTGTCACTGCTTGTGTGCAATAGCCGTGTCATAGAAAAGCATTTCTTATGTTGCCCTCTCATTGGCATCACTTTGTATGTAGCTGTCTGCATAGACACATTGATCAGCAGCAGGGAATTAGCTGGAAGCACACAGTTTATTCTGTTTTATTGTCACAAATATATTGAGTGGGAATTGCAGGACCAGCCTCTGTGCAGTCCCTTTGCTTCTTCTGCTCTGGCTCAAGCATTCCTCCCTGTCTTTAACTGTTCCTTCTCCTGGTAGTCTGCCACTGAGGTGGTGTTAAGGGTTAGTACAGTGATTCCACTAGGAGCAAAGTATTTTGCAAAGGTCAAGCTTGTGTGCATGTGGTTTAGTATAATCCTCATCTGTATGTGTTTGCTGTATGCCTGTCTCTATCATTTATAAAGGTCTATATAAAGCTTACATGAATGTCAAGGAAGTATGAATGTATATTTGCTATATAAATGTACCTGCATTCATCTATTATGTTCTCTTTTATGTTAGCGTTGTAAGTGTATCAGATTTCTAGCTAAATACAGTGCACTCCACATTTTGAGGGACAGCTTAAAACAAAACCTTCTCATGTGAATCATTCAAAGTTGACTTCCCAAGTGTCTCCATTGTATAATCTGCCTTTTAACATCTGAGTGTTTGCTTGGTGTACATATTTAAACGTGCTGGTCCACTGTCTGCACATAACTGTTGTCTCTTAAGCCTATTCTGTCTTTTTGGAGTGCTTGCACTCCCCTGAGCAATTCATTATTGTAGTTGTACATTGCTATGCCGGCAATGTCCCACAAACCCCTGCAGTATCAAAAGGGGTTCTAGTGCTTGATATACTTCAGTAAGGTATCACAGAACAGTCTTTGGAGTCTTGATAATACCACCCACTCTTCCTTTGGGATTTTCCTTTAGAAAAGTGTCAGCTTGGTTATCGGAATGAGGATGGCTGAAAGGGCTAAGGAAAGTAACAGAGTTCAAGTATTTTACTCTCCCAGTCCAGTCTCACAGATTTGAAAGGTGTCAACTCTCTGCCCATTGGCACAAACTTCCAGATCAGTTTTGTAGGATTGTCTGTGTGTAGCTTGTGGTAACTCAGGGAGTGGACGACCAAAAGTTTCCATGCAGATACGGTATCCTCCTTCAGGTCGACGAGTTAGACATGGTGCAAAGCGGTGGCCTTGGAGTATTTCACTTGGTAGATACGAGGTACGGCTCTGGCAGATTTCACCTGAGCCTTCCTGAGTAGCAGATAAACAGACCATAAGCTCCAAATGACCCGAAGCGGATAAAGTCTCGCGCTGTAATAAGGGTGCCAAGGGGCTTCCAGGGGATAGATTGTGGTTGTAGGTAAGAGGGAAGGAGAAGAAAGGGCACTCCACGTTGCAAGCTTGATTGTCCAGTGAAAAATCCACACTGATTTGTTGGATTTGTCCATCGCCTCTCTCTTGATAAAGAATTCCACTGACTCTCACCATGGTCAAGGGACTAGGTCGTGTGTTCGCAACTTGGAACATTAAGCACGGCTTTCCTTCAGGACTGCCCACCACTGCTAGTCTTGAAAAGAGGATTGAAGGAGAGCGGTTCTTTGGTCTTGCTATTTTGGCTACAAAAACACCTGTGGAATACATAATTTACAGTGGGTAAGCATAGCATATTTTTCAAGAGCTGAGAGACCATAAACAAAGTGTTCTCCTGTATTGAATTGTAACTGTACTGTTTGCCCTCATGTTGTAAAGCACTGCACAAACTGTTGGTGTTATACAAATCCTATATAATTATTGTTATTATTAAATTTGTTGGGTAATTCAATCAGTTGTCCATAGAGTAAGACTATCTTACCTGTAATAAAAGCCTCCAGCATTAGTCCCAGAAGCATTTGGACTGCAAGAAGAGCAATAGCACTTGGGCAATCCCCGCTTGGAAACATGGTTCCATATCCAATTGTGAGCTGTGTTTCCAAAGAGAATGAAAAAGCAGCGGTGAAGCTAGTGATGTACTTGACACAGATGGTGTGGTTTTCTGGTGGGTCATCATGGTCTAGTGCCAGATCCCCATTCATCTCCGCAAGTAAATACCAAAACACTGCAAACAATAGCCAGTGGGCCAGGAAGGAAGCCGAAAAAGCCAACATCATCCAGCGCCAGCGCATATCCAGCAACAATCCCCATATGTCACGCAGGTAAGTAAGACAGACCCTGCCCCTGGATCCCAACAGCTTTTATAGTGCTATGTCCATCCTTATTCACCAGTCGATAAGAGCAAGAGTTGAGTAAAGTACACCTTGGGGAACGGCTGTGAGCATCATCCTCGCGTTCTGTGCTGACCTGCAGCACCACTGCAAAAAGAAGACCATGTCATGAGCTGATGAGCAGAAGCAATATCGCAAGAAGCTGCAAGGTGCACATTTAATTATATGGCTGCATAATTAGATTTGAGAGTTCACGAATGCATGAGTTATCTAGTCTGTCAAGATGAAGCAATGGATTTAACTTACTGTTAGCTTGTCAATAAGAGGACTTCTGTTTCAAAGAAAAAATTAAGTGAAATATGTCTGCTGCCATTACTGAACCTCATGAAAACCTCTTTCACTGTCATTGAACAAGCATGCAGATGAGACTTATAGCTCACTTTAGCTCCTTGACTCTTAAACGATTTAAAGGTGGTCAGCTGTGTCAACCTACATACATGACAGATTTCCTTTAAAGTCAATTTAAACGTGGCTGAACATAAGATCACAATGAATGTTCTACTATGAATACAATCAAGATTGTATCCCTTACAATTTTTACTTTATTAAATGGGGCTTGTTTGACAAATCAGGCTAAGCTTAAAGCGGAACTAAACCTGTCCTTTATTGTCAAGGAAGCTGCCATCTTAGCCTCTGGTTGATCTGTGGTTGCCATGGCGCTGCACATGTGATCAGTTATGATACTAGCTATTTGATGGCTTTACAGTTTGGTTAAGAGTACAACCAAATTGTGAGTTATCATGACATGCCTTGAATGTTACTGTTTTGGGAAATGATAAATCGATGGGTTTAGTTTCCACATTACAAAAACTGCTGCGACCTCTGACTCATTGAAGATGCTGTCATCCTTCATATACTACTTGATAAGCTGCTGACCTGGAACAAGCAAGTATAGTATTGTCTGAACACATGATCTTGCATATACATGTCAGGTTAGGGACAAACAAGTTCATGTTGAAAAGTTAAGGGTAAATGCTTTGGCGCATGCACCTTTTAAAATTTTAAGTCTGCAATTACAGCTCCCATATTTCTGTCTTGACAGGTTTGACCTAATCCAATCTTTTGAATTGTGTCTGAAAACAAGTATTTTCCTTTTTGTTTTTGTAGTGCTAGATAGCAAATACAGGTAACAGCTTCCACTTGGATGCTTTGTTAAATAGACACAAAATGTGTAAAGGTGAACCATTTATTTCTGTTTCATATACTTTGTATGAAAACTGGTGGAAAGCAAAATTGAAAAAATTATTCAAATTACACAATGTTTCTAGACATGTGACATTTGGCGTTTAGGGGCATCATCTTTATAATGCTCTTATGTTTTTATACAAGAGGTACTGATTATTTTATGTTGGTCCATTCATGGAAACATGGATCAGACAGTATGGGATTAGAGCCATTCTTTTCAAGAAAAACATTGGATGGGAAAAATATATTATAATATAATTCTAGGATGGAATCGCAAGCCTCTAATGTTTACAGTTAAAACCTGCGTTTTACCACAGTTGAACATTCTGGAATGCTGTGAGAAAAACTTGATAGAGTGTTAGGCATTGTTTGTACTTACTTTTTGTAGTTGGTCAGAGACCTGAAGACCACGTGTCTCTCTTCTCAATTGGAAACCAACATCCAGTGGGATGTGAACTCAATGGGTGTGGCGAAAATATTTCTTTAATGCTTGTGACCACTGCCACGCCACTTCCAATGGTTTATGGACCAATCTGAACAAAATAGAACAGTTCATATGAAGATCATAAAAAAATGATTCGGAGGCCTACTTCAAGACGGACCTTTCTGTTCTGGTCCCTTTGTGAACATTTCCACCCCCTCCAGCCGAAGGCACCTGAGCCGATTCTGGCTTTGTTCCCTGAAGGCAAGCAGGGGCCTGTGCCTGCATAACCCCGGAGTTCTGAGCTGTTGCCAGACTGAGAGAGGGAGGGGGGTGGAAGGGGAAAGAGTGTTTGTGTTATGATTTCACGCTCGGGGGTAAGCTGCTTTTAGATGCAAACATCATGATGCTCATGTGACATGTCCCGCTGTGGGAAAATATCTAGGCTTTGTTCACTCTGGGATGCATTGGAGGGCAGGTAGGATTCACCTGGACATGACTAAAATGTTACTGGTCAGTGAGTGTAGCTAGGAAAGTTTTCCACTGTTGGCTTGCGACAGCAGCATTCTTGTCACAGTGTGTGACTTTTTATCAAGCTGTGCTAGGAAAGAGTCTCGCTGCAGTGAAGAGAACCTACTTTAGCACTACTTATGAATACCAGCAATCCAATACAGGAAGAAAAATACAAGTGGGCCCATATATAGGAATTATCAGGTTATTTTAGAGTGTGTGTATATATGTGTGTGTGTGTGTATGTATCTATATATATATATATATATATATATATATATATATGTATATATATGTATGTGTGTGTATGTATGTTTATTTTTTTTATCAAAAGCCATTTTATGACCCCACTACATTCATGTCAAGGTCCCTCAATACTTAGTATCTGTGTTTTTACACAGCATAGTATCTGCAGAAACATGAATAACAAACTGTTTTTTATTTGTGCAGTGTTTAATATGTGCAGCAGTTTGTGCTTTACAGACTTTTGACAATGATGCTCACAAAATTACTATTTACAAAATTATTAAACTTTCTGGCAAAGTTTAGGTATAGTTTTGCACAAATAAAGCATACAATATTTTGTCAGCTTTAAGTAAAATAAGAAGCTTTGTAAAGATCAGTAACTGTTAAAAACCCCTTTCGTTTGTATATTTAGTTAATTGCATATCAGCAGCTGACCATAAATCAGTGGTCGGTTCATTTTTGGTAAGGAGAACTCTTAAACAAGTAGCATAGGATTTAAGCTGAGGATTTCCTGGGATTTACCCAGTTTTCATGCTCAGTCTCTGGACTTGCACACAGGCTCGATTCACTGGATGAAACATCACATGGTCAGCATGTGTCGGCCATCCAGACTGCATAAGTGTAAGGCACTGGGGTGTTAGAGGCCAGCTTTGCACACGCTGGTACTGCTCTGAGTAATACCAGCTCCAGGCTCTGCTGAGCTTGACAATGTCTTCATTGTGATAAGCAAACCCCTTTAATAACTATTGAGCAAAATAATTTCACAGTGAGATGCAGCTCTGTAAGAAACTATGCCTGTGTGGTGGGATGTTTTTAATTTCAAACCTCAGCAGTGACCCACCACAAGCAGCACTTGACCAAGAAAGATAGAAAACTTACCCGGTTAGTTGGTGTAGTAGATAATCTGTAATTCAGCCTTTTCCTTTTTTGTGTTTTTCTCGTAATTTGTTCTTGTATCTCGTTTGCTTTGTCAGGTCTTACAATTGATTATTGTTTACTGGCTTGTTTCACATGCATAATTCTCACTTGCTTGCATAAGTGCAATCCTTACATCTGCTTGTTGATCCTCTCACATGTCCTTCCCGGCAGCTTCTGAACGGACTTCCTAGGCCAGTGACACACTCCCTGTCAATCTATGGGGGGAGCCCTTGCTGGGTCTGGAGTCATAATCCAAATTCCTGTGTTTATAAATCTGTGGGTAGGGCTCCTTTGGTATGATATCTGATTGGCTGCTAGGCTATTGGGGATATGCCAGTGAGAGGGGTGGTATGTTGCAGCACTGCCCTCACAGTGATTAGCTGTGCACAGTAGGTACACTTATTTTCCATTAACAGTCTAATTACTGCCCACTTGGAAAAGGGGGTTAATGGAGCAATCATCATTTTTGGATATGTTAAAACCTTTTTCTATATTGATCTTGTCTTTCTGATTGAAGGAGGATCACCATGCTTTTTTTCTGGACTTCATCTTAGCAGAACAAACATGTAATATTATACGTATTTATAAATGCAAAAGCAGGATACATCACGTGCAAGCTACAAGCTGATTAAGAGTAAATCTCAGCCCTTTGTTGCTGAATATATGTCTGCTAGTTTCTGTCACCGTGTCTTAGGCTCACTTTGTAAGTTTGCAGGGCCTTCAGAGAGCAGAGGTCATTGGCAGAAATGTACTGCAATGTGCAAAGGTCAAAAGTCACTGGGAATGCATGCTGAGCCTACAAATTTATTTGCAGGAACAATTGTGTTCTGTTATGTTGGCTCTGTCCCTTTTCTCTGTCATGGGCCATGGAGGTGTATGCCATGAACTGGTGATTTGATTTTGAAAATGGTCATAGGTGGGCTGTGGGGGATGGAATGAAGACCCAGCACTTTTGTTGTGTGCATTTTGGAGGTGGTGGGTACTTGTTTTCCACTGGACTTTGCTCACCTCTGTCCAGTTAAGCGGATTGCAGAGAACAGAGCCTCATTGTTCTTGGAGGAGCAAAGCCGTTTTCAGGCCTGTGGTGCTGAATATTAAAGTAATGACCCAAATCCCACCCCCCTCAGTGCTTCTGTTCTGTCGTCCTGCCCAAAGTTTGAACCTCCTGCTGCCAATGGCACGTCAGTGCATGCCCAGAGCAAACAGTGTATGGAGAAGCTACGCAAGTACCCCTTCCACAACTTTAACCACTTGAAACCTTAATAATGAGCAGTTTAACCCTTTTAGCATCCTAAATTACGCATATGTGCTGTTTTGCTCACTGTTGCTGTTGGGTTCAAGAAGATAGAATTCCCACAGCAAGTCAGTTTCCCCTAACATGCCCATCAGGAACAGTTTTCTTTCTCTGTGTGCATATGTTGCTGTGTGTATCTGCATCTAGATTTATTAATCTCTCACCGTTTGATTATATATTTTAGAGCAGCCGCATGGCTTCCTGTATTGCCTTTTCTTCAATTTTTATTTATTTCCCCTCCTCTGTGCATCCAAGTCAAGACTGTTATCTTGATATGAATGTTTGTATAAGAAGACTTGATGTTGATTTCACAAAAGTGAAAAAGTGAGAGCAGTTGACTTTTATGTTGTTTTGTTTTTTTTTGCATTCTGGCTTATTTTAAAAAGAAAAAAAAAACTATCCACATTCTTAAGCTGCCTATGGGCATTAAACAGAGAGCGGTCAGATTTTAGCGGACACTCTGATGATTACTGTTTATTGACATGAACTCTAACATTTCTATAGACACGTAGT